ATTGTCTTTTTTAAAAAGTATCTCCAAAGAAAAGCAATCCTCACCAATCCATTCAGTAAACCGTAGAAATAATGAATCCTAGTTCCAATCAACAGATGTCCAATGTCCTGAATTGTCCATCATTGCAACATTTCTTGGTTCCTCTCTCTTTCCCTCTCTTCCTCTCACTGTGGGAGTGGGAACAGCCTAGAGTAATGTGCCTATTTTTTTTTTAATAGATAAGTAAAGCTCTGGAATGAAATCAAGCTGCACAGTTATAAAAAAATGAATGAGACAAAAATTAGGTCAGGTATATCTATCTACCTGACTTCAAATAGGAAATATTGTGTTTGTGCTGTACATAGATTTCAGGAACACACTGTAATATTCAGGTTATTCTGGTATCATGGAAGTGTTCTAGAACATTTGGTGGAATCACTGTTCTACCTATTTAAAACTCAAAGAAAAAGTAGAGCATTAATAAGATTACTTCAGTGAGGATTGAGCAGAGGTTGTAATAGGCAAAATACTTAGAAACTTTACAGTCTCAGTCATCCTTATTTCATATTTATCTGTTCATAACTTTGTGTCTGATACCCCATCCAGGGAACACTGAGGTCAATATAAAATTGCCATGGACATTATTAAGAGGAGGATTTCCTTTCTATTGAAAAGATTATATCTAATACAATAAAAAAAGATGTTCAACGATGAAGTGAGTTTCAACTGTAAAAGTAAACAGAGTAAATGTATCTTTGAAAATTCCATTCTGAGCAAATAGTAACTGCAAAAAAATCTCTAAAAAGGACATATAAATGACATTTATTGTGAAAAAGATATATTATCAGAAACTGATTAAAATAGAGAGTAATATAACATGAAAACTGCTCAGAACTAGGCATGAGTTGAAGTGAAAAGGTCACTTTTTCTCTCTTTGCTTACTTACTTTAATTTGTAAAGGTAGGAGTGTAATTTCTGAATATGTTAAATAGAGTGATATCACTAAGATTATAAAACAAAAAAATCAATAAAAAAACTGAAAATGAAACATTGTCAATCAAAGTAAACAACATCATTGAAAGTGTAACAGCAAGATTTCCTGGTGAGAAGTATAGAAAGAAAGTACAGCAAAAGATCTATTTGACTATATCAGAAAACTTTTGGGACTTGGAAAAACAAAAAAAATTACTCAAAAATGAAAAAATCTGGATGTAAGGTAATAGAATGAGGACAGTAGACTAATCAGATGTGATAAATCACAAAAAATGATTTCAAGCAATAAAATTAATAAGAAAGGTTGTATAAATAAGTTGAAAGAACAAAATACCTTACTCATCAGAAAGGAAAACAAATAGTAGACAACACAGTGAAGGTAGAAGTATAGAATTCTTTTTCTTAAGTATTTGTAAAAAAATCCATGGTGATTGATTCATAAAATAGTACTTTTGAAGGTTTTAGGACATAATAGAAAATTTCCACCAACAGTCGTTTCCTTTCAGTATTTTGGTTTATTACTCCTTTTGATTGTAACACATAGAAACTCTCCTAGGAAAATAAGTTCTCCTAGATGGGGTCTTGCTGGCTCTTCCCTCTTATAGGATTTGGTTTGTAATATCATAAAGAGTGTAGTGATATGGAGACCTCTTGATAGCGAATATTTGTTAAAGGTAAGAGCTATACCTAAGAATTGAAACAAACCTCTGAACAGGACAACTGGACCTTAGTTTCAGGTTATGAACTGTAGAATAAAGGGCTATCAGTCAGATAAATGCCAGAGTATGGAAAATCTGGTTTATGGTGAGTGAAGAAATAGATCAAATCTAGACAAATGAAGTAAGATGGCAAAATTCCCCCATATCCTCTTCAATTTAATTTGAATCTTATGTTTTCATACTGTAAGATTCTCTGTCGTATCTGAATGACTATAAGCTATAAGCAGTCTACTACCACACCTGTGTTACTTCATCCATTCCCTAAAGAAATAATAAAGAAAAATATTTATGCTTTGGAATGTGCCTATTGTAGTATTTCTATATATATGTGGTACAAGAGAAAAATTCTAATTGATCACGGTCATAAACTGATACCTCAGAAGAACTGTGGAAAGAACTAATGATTGAAGAATGTATTGGGAGCATGATTTCTTGTGTACCTCCACTATCCTAAGCTATGCTTATAAACCAAAGGCACAGTTCTATTATACTAATGCAATAAGCTATGTATTTATGCAGTTTCCTCTTTGCTGCAGTTACATGTAGATCTTGTGATCAAATTTCAGAAAGAAATCTGCCTTATAGTGGCTTCATTCTGGACATTGTATAGATATTAATTTTTAATTGGTGATAATTGTTCCTCTTCTTTAGAATAATCCTAATACACTGAGACCTTTCTAACTGTGACTGAAAAAAGTATTTTTCATATATGAAATATTTTTTGGCTTAGTCATGTTAAGATAAAATAATACCCCCCCCCAAATATCAATTAATTTCTTTGCTTTAGCTAGATTCATTGATGTGGTATCTGTACGCATAAACAAATCGATGTCTCTTTTAATTATTTCATCCAGTTCCTGCTGACTCGTGTTCTATTTATCATTAATATATGTGTGTGCCAATATTTCCCCACTCTATTTCTATTCTTTTACTCTTTTGTTTGGTTTTATGTGTGCTAAATATTTCATATGTGAGTTCCTATCTTACCTTTTGCATTAAATGAGGTAGAAGTTTATAACTGTTTTTCAGAGGTTAAATTCAATCTTTAGGGAAAGTGACAACAAAACACTAATTAATTGTGGAGTTGTTATTATTTCTCTATTCTTTTGTAATGCTTTAGCGTAGAACTGAGTCTGTACTTACACCTGCTTCTGGTGTATAATCAAAGTAAGTCTCAAGTTATGTATAACAACTAATACAAAATTAGAATTTGAATACTACTTACATGCTACAGGAAAAAAGACCTCTCAAATTCCTGTTCTTCTATAGTTTAGTTGCCGTAAACCGACAGGACCGTTCTAGTAACCACATATTATTTAAGAAATTCTTTTAGGACATTTAAATGGCAAGCAGATGAAGTTTGTCAATGATTACAGTGAAAAACACTGGAAGTCTGTCAGATCAAGGATCCAATAAAAGCTATTTTACCTGCATACCTATATTGTATTGATTTTATATATATATATATATATATATATATATATATATATGATATATACATTCAATGGAAAACTTAAGATAGCTTAGCCTCTGTGGAAATAATTTTTCTGTTCTTACAAGCTGTCGAAGTTGATTAGACCTCAAAGGAAGAGTAAAGAATTTTATGTTAATGTCTTTTCTCTGGTTGTAGAAACTACTGTAGAGCAGTTTACCCACACAATACAAAGAATCTGAAAATAACCTATTGTGAGCCAAATTAAACTGAGTGTATAGAGGAGTTAACGAATTAGGGTGTTAAACTTGAGCTGTTTTCTGTCTTGTAGTTTTACTTTTTTCTTTTTTTTTTTTTTTTTAGTTTCAACATATTAAATTCTCAGGGGGTCACCCTGTCAGCCTCAGTTCTGTGGCCTGGATTTAGTTGAATCAATCCTAATTGAAATTCTGCACAGGTCTGGTATTCTGTGGAGATTGCAGATGAATGACAGTGCAGTGGCAGGAAAGATAAATATGCTGGCAAATGAGATCCAGGCTCTCCACAGAGGATGGAATAAATTACTTTACCAATACAGTGGAGGTAATATGCTGGAGAAAGAAAGTGAAATTGAAGCTAGTTTAATGCAAGGTTTGTTAAAAAATATGCATAAAAAGAAACCAACAATACAATTAAGATTTACTTAAAATACAGATTTGTGATATGCATGGCATTTAGGCACTTCTATTGTGAATAATGATCAATGCATACACTTTAATTTCATTTATGCAGAAAGCAACTTGCACAATTTAAATTCGTGCAGCGTTCTGTGTGTAACTCAAGACCCAGTAGTAACTGTGGTATGGCATATTGATTAGTAATTTGATAAATATATAAAATGGCACACTGAGTTTAAGGTGCTTCATGCAAAATGTATTTAAATGACCTTGGTTAATTAGCGTGAATAGCTTTGAGGCACTGCTGCCTGAGTGAAAGACAATTTTAGAGTCCAGAGATTTAAGAGATTTCATGACTGGATGAGCAAAACTTAAACCAGGGGAAAAGAGCAAACATTAATTTTCATAGTAATTAAGGTGAATTAGATGACCTGATAGAACTTTTTTCAATCTTCTTGTTCTGTACTGTTCCTCTCAGCATACTGCCTCTTACTTCTTTCAGTCTAATTGCTATGTTTCTTAAGTAAGCAGGATTTCAGTGCTTTCCTCAGAAAATTATATGAGAGTCTAATGAATCAGAAAGTATTTTCTAATATACATCCAAAATTGTCCTTTTCTTAATGTAAGCTATTACTTCTTTAGGTAGTTATAGTCTGTTGTGCTACTTGAAATAATTCCTTTCCTTCCTCTGTGCTTGTATCTGCCTACAATATGTAAGTAATCACTTAACAAAATTATATGAATATACATCTTTTATTCTCATCTCAGAAATCAGTTTCTTCCATTATCCAACAACACAATTTGATTTGTCTTATTCTGAGCTAATTTGTTCATAGTAGTGATGTGTCACAGTGCTCCATACTGGAGTTCTAATCCAGGCTGAGATAAACCTCACCACCTGTAAATTCTGATATACATAGGGAATTTTCACTGTCTATTTTCAATCTGTTGTTTCATTTTGCAGCTGAATTTGTTTTCCCTGGTCACACTTGAAATCTCCTTTTACTGGCACTGTTTTCCTCCCAATGAAATTGGTTTTAATCCTTAATTTCACTGGAAGTGCTAGCTCGTGCTCCTTTGAGTTCAATCTTACTTTATTTTCAGTCTATACTATAAAAAGCATGTTCAGAGGTAATTTGGCATAGATCCAAGTGAGCATGACTCAGTGAAATCACTGTAGGCTGCCTTGCAAATAAAAGAAGTATATCTTATACAGCAAGTGGAAGAAAGTTGTCTGGAATGGAAGCAAGAATGGTAACACTGATTTGAATAGTCTTTTGTGAAGGAAATAAAATGTACCTGATGGTGGTTAGTGAATGTGTACAGCCAGAATGACATTGCCATACATCAGAGTGGCACTTGCATTATCTAGAGTGGTCAGGTAAGAAGAACTTTCTTATGACAAAATTAGGAAAAGTTTCTTTAGTTTTTAATTCTGACCTTGACTAAATCACCCTACTTTTGGTCATACTGACTGCTACTAGCTATCCCATTTAGGAAGACCTCGTGAACTGAGCTAGAAATTATGAATTTTTAAGATTAATTAACAGAATATTTCAGTGGATGAGATGACGGTTGGTGTACCTCATAGTATAAGATTTTTCAATTGTAACAAGGCTCTTGATTAATTACTTTTTAATGGAAATATTCTATACAAAGCAAACTGAAGAAAGTTTTTTGAAGTGAAATACAGCAATATTGTAACAACTGCTTCTTATTGTTGTTCTTTCTGTATTGTTTGGGGTTTTTTTTGACCAATTCTAATACATATTTTCAAAGCGTTGCTATAGAATAGCAATAGCAACAATAGGTAAAATGATAAATAATTATTTTTCTTCTCCTCATCTTAGCTTGTTGGCTGGAAGTGACACCCTTTCTTTGTCACTATTCTGCTCTGTTTTTTGTTTCTTACAGAAACATGTCCATTCACTGACTTTCAGAAACTGAGTGCTCCAATTTACTACGGTAATGTACTAAAATTGCTGTGTTACTCTTCCGTTTCTTATTGATTCCATGTCCATAGCTAAGCATATATTTTTTTCCCCCTCCAAAACTACCACGTGAGATTTTGATTCTTTGAGGAAAGTATTTGTTTACTGGGTAAGAAATAGATAGCACTGAGATGCAAAACATCCTTAGTTTATTGTTTTTCACTACAGGTAAAACAGTTGAGTAAAACAACCACTTGGAAAGTCATAGTATTTATCTATGAAAATTTATAGGTCAGCATTTTGTTATGTTATAGTGACCATATACTTTGTGTGTGAATACTGACAGCCTTCCTCTAAAATGTATGTGGAGATACAATCAAAGTTATATGGGTTTAGACTACCTTATAATGATATGTTTGCATCTGTGCTGTATGGCTTTTGGTAAAAAAAAACCAAACACCAAAACTAAAAAACCCTAAAATATCTATCCTTGCACAAAATCTTCGCTTTGTGGTTTATGAATTTTAGGAACAAAAATTCTCTCAGTTTTTAGTAGAATTAAAATTATACAGGTGAATTTGAAAACTTGCATAACTATGTTGCTTTCACTGTAAAAAATGATCAAGAATGAAAGCCTTAGTAAAGTTCCCTCTGTTGGTGCATTTAGTTTTCTACAGCTGGCTATGGTTTGATCTTGTCTTGATTTCCAAGCAAACTTTTTTTCAGTGTTACCTTATAGGTAACTACTTGTGATATCCAAGTGTATTCACTAACTTTGCACATGTAACTCACAATCTGTTACTACTACCTCTTTCATAACACAGATACCTGAAGAAATATCTTTCCTATTAAACTAATGGAATAACTCAGAAGTAAGCTTTTCAATTAATTCATTTTCATTACATTTCTATCACTTCAGTATTATGAAAACATATTTTGTTGAGTTTTCATATGCACTGGCATCAGTGATGTCATTACTGACTTTATTTTTAATTACTGGAAGGTTTTATGTTTTATCTTTCATAATTTGCTCTGAAAAAACTTCAAAGTGTTTTCATAGGACCCTCTATAAACTTATTTGCTATTAACAAAACAGATAAATAAGTCCTTAAAATCAAATCTTTGCAATTCTTCCTAGAATATAAAAATACACATTTCTGCTAAGTGTGTGTTTTAGATTAGATATCTATTTAACTCATCATACACATCTGAGAAGTGCATTTCTTGCCATAGTGAAATTTTCTGCAGTTAGGAAGAGTTCCTAATTGCTTCTTATCTGTCCAGTGGTAGAGGTAAATGTGTTTGAAAATAGGCCATGATGTTAATTAAAAAAAGAAGGCCACTATTTAAAAAAAAATAAGTTATGTGAATAGTAGAGAAATTAAAATAATAAAACTGTGCTCGTGAGAAAAGTGTCTGAAAATATCCCATCTTAATTTTTAATTACAGTTTCTAAATAAAAGTTTGACTTTTTGTCATATAGTTCTGACTGAAATTAAGAAAGTCTTCCTGATAAAAATAATATTACATTTGAAAAGACACTGTGATTTCTTGATAATTTTTTTTGTCTGTTCCACTGTACTATCACTTCTCTATTGGAATAATACCTCTTTACCTAGGCTTGTGTTTACTAGGGTATACTAGGTGCTATGACGTAACTTCTACATTGTTGGGAATCTGGATGTACAGATCTGGATGCAAGAGCCAGCTAAGTTTGATTAGATATCTAAAATACAGTATAATAACATTGTTAATATAACACTGTTCTGGATTGTGGTTCAACTTTCAATGTCTGTCTTGAGAAAGAAGTTTACATGTTTTGATATCTGTTGGTTTCTAAACAGAAAGAGAGCTGTTATTGTGAAAAACAAACCCAAACCCAAACAAATGTTCCCTCAAGAAGCAGCTTCAGTCAAGAAATTCCAGTGAGAAGATTTGAGCATCCTGATGGGTTGTACCTTGCAAGTTAAATATGATTCTGTGTTTGCATTATGTTGTTTACTCACATAGCATTGTACTTCACTTTTCACTGTAGGTCTGAACATTACATTATCAAGATAGGGACCTAAGGTATTACATTGTTTTCTGAAAATGTAACACAATATTCATAGTATCCTTGTTTTATATAAATACTTTTGCTAATTACTGTTCATATTCAGCAGAAATTGAATAACACCGCAGATATAGCCAGTGCAAATGTGTAGGTTTACAAAAGTAAACAGTTGAGTAAATTCTCTGGGCAACTTGTCCCAATGTCTCAACACCCTCATTGTAAAAAATTTCTTTTATCCAGCATTAATCCATCCTCTTTCAGCTTAAAACCATTGCTCCTTCTCCTGTCACTACAGATCTTGGTAAAAGTCTTTCTCGATCTTCATTATAAGCTCCCTTTATATACTGGTCTGCCTGCAGCCTTCTCTTCACACTGAGAGATGTGGTGGGTCTCTGAGCCTCAGCCTTTTTTCGTAGGAGAGGTGTTCCAACACTCCTTTTGTGTTCCTCCTCTGGACCTGTCCTAAGCTGCATGCAGTACACAGGGTTGGGTCTTACAAATGCAGAGTGAAGGGAGAGAATCACCTCCCTTGACCTATCAGACACGCGTCATGGACTAAGCTTGTAAGACATTGGATTATTATACTGGCTCAGAACAACTCGGGGCGGGGGGAGGTGTGTGTGTGTAGGAACAGATGGAATTTCACGGAGGTGAGGTAATGCCTTGTCCCACACCCCAGCCACTTCAGCCTTGGAGGTGACCCTTGGAGCAGCTGTCAATCAAAGGCAGCCTGGAATCGTGCCCACACCATGCCCCCGGAGCCCCTAACCCAGCCTCTGACTGGCACACAGTGGCAGCACCACCCCTCAGCCCACCCAGGAGCCCCAGAGTGGCCAGTGGGCTGGGAGTCCCACCTGGGAGGGGATGCCACAGGGGGCCAAAGCATATAAAACCAGCAATAATGTACTCTCTGTCTTCGCTTGAGCCGTACCACCTGGCTACATGGAAGCTAGCCTCTCACGGGATGCCAGTGGTAGCTATGATCTTCTATTTTTCTATCTCCTTCTTTTCTCCTCTTAATCTCCTCTCTTAATATTTTGGGTATCTTGGGGCAGAATGGATTGGTTTTTGCTAGATTGTATTGGTTACCATGTGCTAAGTCAGTGCTTTGTGGAATGCTTTATATGGGTTGTATGTTACCCTTTAAACTTTTGCCAAGGTCCCTTATTTTTTCTAAAGTTTACCAATAAAAGTCCCTTCTGAAAAAATATGTATGGTTTTTCTCCTATGTGCTCTCTCTTAAGGTGTTAAAAGAATCAAAGGCTCTTCTAATATGTCCGGAGCGTGGATATTATCGGGGCCTTGCATATTTTTATAATAAAATTCCCTTGATGAGCTCACAACTTGAGACTTGGGGCCTTATAAACCTTCATGGAGATGCTTCACAGCATAGCCATGGAATGTGACACAGCAGTATGAGCCACTCATCAGTCAGTGATATAGGTGAGATAGCTAAACCTTGTGCTCTACCCATGAACTTCTGATATCACAAAGCTCTATACAGACTACTTTTTAAAGTCCTGTTTTCCTCTAAATTCAAGTAGCATTTCTCTTATTTGATCTATTCACCTAATTCCCTCTCCACTGTATCTTATCCTCTTATCCTCTGAGATTATTTATTTGTATATTTAGGACTCTAATAATGCAGATTTATGCTCTCTAGTGCTGAATTAAGATAGTTTTTAATTTAATTTTTTATTTATTTTTAAATGGATAAGGCTTCAAAAAACAATGTATTGATAGACAAGTAATATAAAAATGCACATAAAACTGATAAAAATACTACATTACCTTTCCTCTATATTAGTCAAAGGGCACTGCAGTATTAGTCCTAGATATATTTCCTTATACTAGTTATGATGAGTAATGACATAATGGTCCTGAGAAATTCTGTCTTTATGAGTTTGTTTTAAGCCATATATTTTAAAGTTTAAGTGATGATTTTATGCACATTGTATTTTAACGAAACTCAATAAAAATATTCCCCTCTTTGTAAATCATTCACTTATGCGATTTTCAATTTTTACTAATATAGCCCTCATTTACAGAAGGAACCATATGCTTGTACACACACTTTATAGAACTCTTTCAGGAAGTATCAGAAAGAATTTAAACAACAAAAAAGATATGTGCTCCAGACACATAAGTCAGCTTACTAGAAGACAAAATAATTCTATTTCATAAATCATTTCCTGAAAGTGGGAAATTTGGTATTGCTTCCACTTTATTTGAAAGTGATGACATAACAGGATCCACAGATTTGTTGATAAAGGATCTTTTTATTCATCTAACTGATTCAAACCAAGTTAATTCAAACAAAGTCAACAAAATAAGATCATCTGTGTTTATTCTCTAAAAAAAAGTCAGCATTTCTGAATAATAAAAGATCAAAGAGGA